ATAACTACCTACGGTACACCAAAATACTTCGTCAGCGACAGAGGTACACATTTCAAAAATACCGAAGTAAAAAACATATGTGAAAAATTAGGAATAACTCAAATTTTTTCGACTAGTTACCATCCCCAGAGCAATGGAATGACCGAATTAATGAATAAAATTATATGCAACGCCTTAACACACTACGTCGACAATAACCAAAAAAATTGGGCACTATATTATAAAATGATTATATTTGCGTATAATACACACCCACACGCAAGATTTGGTTACTCCCCATTCTACCTAATGTACGGCACGGAGGCAACGCAACATCTAGACAACAAAATCATCCCACCCGAAACAGACCATAATAGAATCGAAGAAATAATACAACTACAAAAAATTAGGCAAGAATTACCAAAATTAATAGAAGCAGAACAAATCAAGCAAAAGAAACAGTACGACAAGAACCACAAGGAAGTGGAATACCAACCCGGCCAAAAAGTGCTAGTAAAAATAAAATTCCAAAAAAAAGGAGAAACAAAAAAATTGGCGCACAAATACAGAGGCCCATTTGAAATATTAGAAAAAATTTCGGACGTAAATTACAAAATTGCATTAACACTAAATGGAAAAGAAACAACGGATACTATACACGTAGATAGACTAAAGCCATTCCACGAAGAATTAAATTAAATAAATAAATAATAATACTAATAAGTAATAATGTAAAAAAAAAAAAGAACAATTAATCAAATTATGTAACATTATGAAATTCGTATATTCATATATATTTATTTTTATTTTTATTTAAGTAACAAAAATAATAAGTAAATTAAGTATATGTCACATATAGGTTAAATTAATTCTAAAAAAAAAAGGGGTGTAAAAATATATATAAATAAAAAACAAAAAAATAGAATGTATTTTCAGCATAAACAAAATTCACGAGTCAACAGACAACAAGCCGCTACAATCTTCTGAGACAAAGTGCGAATATAATATTTTCAAAGTAGACAATAAGCATTAAACCAATAATTATAAAAACAATAAGCAAATACCTTTTGATACGAAGACACGAGAAAGATACTGCAGTCAAAACAGAAGTTTGAAAAAATAATATATGAGAATATAATATATAAATAAAAATATATATATATATATATACAGATTATAAGAAGAAAAACTAAAACAAGCAAGATAATAAATACTTACCTTATGAAATACAAAAAGAGAAGAAGAATTAACTACCACAGAATCGAAGAATAAAATGCCGTAGAAGAACAACAATCATTTACTGCTATTTGTCGAAATAAAAATATTATACTTCAAACTGAGAAAAATCTCTAAGAAAACATTTTCCACAAAGAGCCAATCAATAAATTATTATAACCTTATATGTATTCACATAAATTTTTGTATCTATATTCTGAGTAAAAATTTCATACAGTATAAAATACAACTCAATTTATATTTATATTATAAAAAAATTATTAATCATTAATATGTATTTATGAATTATATGTTTCTAATTGTTTCTAGATCCTCACATAATATTGCCACAGGTAGAGATTTTTTTTTGTATTCATATTTCGAGTTAATTTTATACAGTATAAAATAATTACGGCAGTTGAAATATCGATTTGTCTGTTTTAAATTTAATTTGTTGTAATTTGTGTTAATTATTTTGCATGTTTAATTCGTGAATTGTGGCTATTGTCATTCCTTTTGGAATATATACTATATACGTTGGAATAATTGTATAAGATTACTTCGTTAGAAATGTTAGAATAGTCTACTATCTGGGTTTCTAGCATTAAATGTTTTTCGCTGCCTAGGCAGTCTGTAGGATTTATTTTATACTGTGTTAGTATATCATTGCTTGTGATATATATTTTTAATTTTGACTTCGATTTTGGTGCAATAGTAATATTGTCATTAGATTTTATTTTAATTTTATTTTTATGTATTCGGGTTGTACTTGTGATGCTTTCAGTTGTATAAATGTTTAAATTAATATTTTCATTATGTTTGTAATATATATATTTTTTTTTCTTCTCTCTCCCCTAACAACGCGTTAAAAAAAAAAATAAATAAATAAATAATTAAAATAATAGGATTAAAATTAACATTTAAGCATAATTTTATAGTCAACGACGCGAATAAGCCGAGACAGTAATATAGTGTAAAAGTAGATTAGTATTTAATGTAGTAATAAGACAATTGTATGTAAAAAATTATTAAAAAATGAGGGCATTTTTTTTCAAAAAACAACGGGGACTGTCGTATATTGTAGACAGTCGTCAAAATATTATTTCATATATGTAATAGAGGTGGGAACTTTTTATTGTAAAACATTGACATAGGTCAGTGAAGCATATGTGCTGAGACAGCGATAAGATTACTATATAACACCGCCGCACGCGCAGGCACGGGGAGTCCCGTTGTCGCTGAGTGAATCGGCGAGGACGTAGGTACTGTGGTCGTACGTGTGAAACGTCGATCGTAGTACGGGCTAGGCAATCCGGATTTGCTAAGTGTTTAATTTATGTTTGTTTTAATATAATAAAAGTGTTTCCGACCTAAAAACCCGAGTTGAGTTTTATTTCAAAGTCTTCTTCGTTCTTACCTTTAATATTGGAACAGTGCTCAGACCCACACACCTATAGTCAATGAGGTTTATTACAAACTGAACAGTGCTCTGGTTGTGGCGTCCTAATAGTCATTCCAATTTAGGAAACGAACGAAGAACTGACAAAACGCTACCATCGTACCTCAAAGGTTAACAGTGCTAATCTGAATATATTCTAGAGACAGTCATTAGCCTAGAGCGTACGAGGGTAAGGTATAATAAAGTTGGTTTACCGCGTATTATCCAATACGGGTGATACCACAACATATTATTAATTGTATATCATTCTTTATTATTTGAATCATTGAAGATTCTAGGTAGATAGTACCTAAGACCTAAGTTATAAACTAGTTACTTATGTTTTTTTTGTATAGTTTACCTACTATTAAAAATCTAATATTGGAATGCATAGGTACCTAGTTAAAATTGCTAAAAATTAACTGCAAATTAAATTTCAATGAGAAAGGGAAACATAAAAAATGAATTAATGTTATGCCCCCCCCCCCAAAAAAAAAAAATTAAATTTAGCCACCACTTCTATGGTATTAAAAAAAATGTGTTGGAAAGGGGCGCCATAAATATTGTGCCCGGGGGCGAAAAATCCCTAAATACGGCCCTGTTAAAATCCCCAACTGTTTTTAAAACGCCGGGAAAAGTGGTGTAGTTCTAAAACAAATGACCGTATAGTTCCATGAAATTATCACTGAATGTTGAGATTAGCATTTTCTATACACTATAAGATTTTCAAAATATTTTACTAGGTTTGAGGTGTTTACAGACATTTTTAGTGTTAAATTGTTTAGTTTTTTTTTTCTATAAATGTCAATAAAATTGTAAAAACAGTTTTTTCTATAGTTATTTTATGTTCATATTTGGACGAAATTAGATATTAGAAGAACAATTTTAGTTTTGTTATATTTTAAAACTATTATTCAAGACGCTTCTTAAGTATCTTATTATATAAGAGTATATATTATTATATAATAAGTATCTAATGATATAATTCAACTTCCAGCTATCGTATCAATAATAATATTATAAAATATCCTTGGCTGACAAACATTTTTTAGTATATAATGATATTATAACATTGAATTCAAATTTAATACCACTCATAACAGCAGAGCGGCATCCACTTACCTACCCGTTTTTTATTTTTTTTAAATTTATCATTATCTTATTTTTAATGTAAATAATAAGCAACATAAGTAATAATTTTGTAATTTCTATTCATGTAAATAATTAATAAACTGATTTTTATTTAATTATTTCAATTGATAATTAGTACAATACAATTATAAAAAAATTTAATATAGATAAGGATGACGGCATTAATGTAAAAATATGTATTTTACAAATTTCATTATAAATAAATAATAGGTTTACATAATATTATATAATATTGATATTATGATAAACACTGTGATAACAATAAAATAAAAATTTAGTATTAAAACACCTTCATTAAAATTATGTTATTAAATACATATTATACAAATAGTACAATGTTTGGTTAAAAAAAAGGTTAAATTGTTATAAATAATTAATAGATTTGGATATTAACAAAATAAATATAAATTAAGTTTGATAGAATAAGGAATTGATACAAACAAAGACATACTGAAGTTGAATATTAGTAATATAAAATCAGGTATCACTTGTTTTGATTTTTTTTCAGATAGTTGGATTTGGTGTTTGTATAATTTATTATATCTGAAACATCATATAGTAATATGTTATAAAAATATGATTTTTGATACATTTATAATATTAAGGAACATTAACTAACATTTACTACAATATATTATAGGTTTTGTTAAATATTTTTACTATCGTTATCGTAAACTGGTGAAACACAATTGTTTATTTCTATCTTATACATATTGTATGTATACATTCCTAATTATACATTTTAAATTTTAATCATATGTTTGGATAATGGTTATACATTTACAAAATTACTTACTGGTAAAATATACAGTTACAAAAATAATTCAAATGTATGTATTTAAAATAAAAACATATTGAAGTATTTATATAAATACTAACTCCAGCTTAGCTCGAAAATAAATAAATCCGAGATGGGCAATTCTCTGCGGCAAATAGTAATAAGTAAACTTATTTTCCTTTGATGAAAGCAAGCAGAAATTAATGAATATGCGTTCAAAATTATAATATTATTATTAGGCCCTGTTTGGTCTTTTAATTTTAAAGTCATTAAATTAATCAATTAATTAATTAACTCTGATTAAGTATTTTAATTAAATGTTCAGTTGTTTAAATTATTTGATAAAATGTAATAAATATTGCAACACATATTATCCAGTAATTAATACTTACTCTAAATTAGATCAGATGGTGTAATATCTTCTAACAAAATGGCTTTTCATAATACATTAGAACCGCAAACATCATCCATCAGTTTATTAGTGCAACAAGAACATTTTTTTTTTTGAAAAATTTTTCTTGAAGATCTACGATAAACTTGCTGATTGAATTTCAGTTTTTTTGATTCACTTGATTTTTTTATAAGACCCAGTTCTTGTTCCAGGCCAACTGTTGAGCTCCGCTTAACAGCATCAAAGTCCAACTGTGAGCCAATAGATATGGTATTTAATTCACTTTTATTTCGCCCTATTCGAATTTTAGGTATAGCGTTCGTATTTGTTTTGACTTCACGAGATATTATCCTCCAATCTAATTTTGCTTTATCTGAATTTATTTCACACATTTCTTCTTGAACTTTATCTGACACAAATTCATCATCAGAAATTAAATTAATAGTTTCTTCGATTAAACTATTGTGTATTTTATTTAAACAGTTAATTGGATCAGGCGATAAAGTCACAACACGTCGATCTGAACTTGATTTTAAATTCTTGTCAAGTTCTACTTTTTTTATCATGTATGAATTTAATTTTGATTTTTTTGTTACAGCTTTATTTTTATCAATATTGATAGAATCTTCTTTTAGCTCTTCCAAGTTGATTATTGTATTAGCAGCCGTTGGTTCTTTCATAGATTTTAAACATGCTTTTTTAAGTCTTTTCAATGCAATAGGTTTTTGACTATTTGTTTTGTTAGTTGATAATGAGATATGACTATTATTATTGTCCATTGCAAGTAGTTTGAAACGGTTTTTGTATAAACTGACATCAAACTTCTTGAGAATTACTCTAGGTTCTAGAAAAAATTTATGGTTAATATTTTTTGTACGAGAAAATACATTTCGATTTAGTATTTTGTTGTTGTTTTTAGCTTCTGGTTTAATCTTAATAGGCATGGCTAATTTTGTCAGTTCTTCTAAAGATTCTGTATCTTTATTATGTAAATTCTTTGGTAGCAATTCTTCAATTTTCTTAACGTTTATATCTTTGTTTGATGAACTTTCTCCAGATATTTGCTCTAAGTTAATATTGCTGTTAGAAGCCACATACTTTGGACATGTCCTTCTACGTTTTATCAAGGCAACTTTTTTCTGACATTTTGGTCTCTTCTTTGACATACTCACTAAACAGTCTTCCAAAACATCAGAAGTGGGGGAGGAAATATTTGAAGAAATAATTTTCAATTTGACTTGTTTAGTTTTACTTTCAGACATTGATTTTGTAGTTAATTTAGTGTCAGAACATGGAACACATTTGGTCCCGTATCTTCTTTTTCGGAGATTAGGAATATTTTTAGTTTTTTGTTCAATAAATGGTTGCTCATTTTTTTTATCTGTACTTAAATTGTGTATATTTTCTGCCAAATTTTTTCCACTTTCAATACCTGAATTACTTTTAATAAAATTAACTAATTTAGATGTTTCTTCTTGAATTAAAATGTCTTTATATAACATACTATTTGTTGAAAATTCTTTAATAATTAGTGTTTTACTAGGTTCTGATGCTGCGGAAGGACAGCTATTTTGTATTTCAACTTCATGCTCTCTTTTTGCAGAGTTTAATATATTAGTATCAACTTGTTGAAAAGCAATATCTTTAGATTCAACTAGTTGATAGGATTTTATTTCTTTATTATATGAATTAGTATTAATAGTTGTATTAGAAGAAGATGGTTCAACATTCTCTGATATCTTATCTACAACTATTTCTATGTTGTTGTCCACAACTGTATCTCGGGTTTCAATAACATCACCTGTTGTTCCTAAACTTATATTGTTAAAAAATGATTCATTTAACAAAACTGATGTTGGTTGATTAGTTTCATACATTTCTAGTTGATTTGATTCATTTCCGGTCATAGTAAGATGATTAAAACCATATTCAGGTATAGGATTAAATTCAATAGTTGACAATTCCGACAAAATATAATTGTTGGAAAACTGATACTCATCATAAAGATAATCTTCATTCTGATCATTACATAAATCTTCTTTGGGATTTTCAACGATTTGAAAATTAATAGGAGTAATTGGCTTATTGTATCTTTCTGTATTTTCTACTACTTCAGCAATATCAACTTCTTTAATTACAACTGAAGTCTGGTCACCATCAACTATATTACTAAGATAATTTTCATTTTCCTTTTCTTTTTCAATAATTATTATTTGGTTGTCATCATTTGAACGATTCTCTTCAGTGAGGCCATACATATTAGGAGTAAGATTTTCCAACACGTTAGATTGTGATTCTGTTGGACATATTAAATTATCATGGTCTGCCATAACATTATTTTCTGGTGTTTTCTCGCTTATGAGAGTTTCAAACGATGTTATTATATTTTGTTCTCTTGCATAAGCTTCTTCTGAATTTTCTTTATTTGCACTCTCAAGTATGACATCTGATTCCCCTAAATTGTCTTCATTCTCACCATCAGGTATGCCACTTAGTTTGTCTGAATGGTTTTCGGCACATACGTTCTCATTGTGTAAGTCATCTGATTCTTCTAAATTGTCTTCATTCTCACCATCAGGTATGCTACTTAGTTTGTCTGAATGGTTTTCCACACTTACGTTCTCATCTTGTAAGTCATCAGGTTGTTTTGAATTTGTATGATAATTTGCATCATCGTGTAAGTCATCTGATTCTTCTAAATTGTCTTCATTCTCACCATCAGGTTCGATACTTAGTTGATCTGAATGGTTTTCTACACTTACGTCCTCATCTTGTAAGTCATCTGGTTGTTCTGAGTTTTTAGTATAATTTGAATCATCAAGAATGATATCTGGCTCTTCTACGTCATATTCATAATTTTCACCTTCTTGAATGACATCTGATTCTTCTAAATTGTCTTCATTCTCACCATCAGATTCGATACTTACTTGATCTGAATGGTTTTCTACACCACTTACGTCCTCATCTTGTAAGTCATCTGGTTGTTCTGAATTTTTAGTATAATTTGAATCATCAAGAATGATATCTGGTTCTTCTACGTCATATTCATAATTTTTACCTTCTTGAATGACATCTGATTCTTCTAAATTGTCTTCATTCTCACCATCAGGTTCGATCCTTAGTTGATCTGAATGGTTTTCTACACTTACGTCCTCATCTTGTAAGTCATCTGGTTGTTCTGAGTTTTTAGTATAATTTAAATCATCAAGAATGATATCTGATTCTTTTAAGTCATATTCATAATTTTCACTTTCCTGAATAACATCTGATTCTTCTAAATTGTCTACATTATCACCATCAGGTATGCCACTTAGTTTATCTGAATGGTTTTCCACACTTACGTTCTCATTGTGTAAGTCATCTGATTCTTCTAAATTGTCTTCATTCTCACCATCAGGTTCGATACTTAGTTGATCTGAATGGTTTTCTACACTTACGTCCTCATCTTGTAAGTCATCTGGTTGTTCTGAATTTTTAGTATAATTTGAATCATTAAGAATGATATCTGGTTCTTCTACGTCATATTCATAATTTTCACCTTCTTGAATGACATCTGATTCTTCTAAATTGTCTTCATTCTCACCATCAGGTTCAATACTTAGTTGATCTGAATGGTTTTCCACACTTACGTTCTCATCGTGTAAGTCATAAGGTTGTTTTGAATTTGTATGATAATTTGTAACATCAAGTAAGTCATCTGATTCTTCTAAATTGTCTTCATTTTCACTATCAGGTATGTCACTATGTTGATCTGAATAGTTTTCTAAACTTATGTTCTCATCATGTAAGTCATTTGGTTGTTTTGAATTGTTAGTATCATTTGAATTATCAAGTATGATGTCTGGTTTTTCTGCATAGTCATAATTTTTACCTTTGAGTATGACACCTGATTCTTTTAAATTGTCTTCAATTTGAACATTAGGTAAAATAATGTCTGGATGGTTTTCTACACTTATGTCATCATCGAATACGTTGTCTGGTTGTTCTGAGTTTTTAGTATAATTTGAATTGCCAAGTATGATATATGGTTCTTCTACATATTCATAATTTTCTCCTTCGAGTATGACATAAGGTTCTTCGAAATTGTCTTCATCTTCAACATCAGGTGTGACACTAAGTTGATCTGAATTGTTTTCTACACTTTTGTATTCATTAAGTATGAACTCTGATTCTTTTAAATTTTTACCAATGTCACCTTTAAGTATGACATCAGGTTGTTCTAACCTATTATAATTATTTTCATCATCAAGTATGAAGTCTGGTTCTTCAGAATTGTCTTCATTTTCATGATCAGGTAAAATGTTTGTTTCATCTAAATGGTTTTCTATACTCATATGTATACTTTCTATGTCATCATCAAGAATGATATCTGGTTTTTTTACATGTTCATAGATTTCACCTTCAAGTATTACATCTGATTCTTTTAAACTGTCATCAATTTCAACTTCAAGTATGTTATTTAGTTCTTCTGAATGGTTTTTATCAATTGCACTATCAAGTAGGACATCTAGTTCTTCAAAAAAGTGTTTATATTCACCATCAGGTAAGACACCAGGGTCATTGTCAGAAATACCTATTTGTTCATACTCTTCTTTATCTACAGTATAAGGTATAGGGGCAGTTTCTAATAATTTTATTTTAGAATTATCTTTGATTAACTTGTGAAAAGTGATTGGTGATTGTTCCGTTACCATATTAATTGGTAAATTATTGGTATCACTATATCTGACGTTTACATATTCAGGAATAATGTTTTTCATGCTCATGCCCTCTTCGTGACTGAATCTACCAAAATAATATAAACTTTAATTTAAATTGCTATACTATATTATTTTGAGCATAAATATCTTTTGGATATTTAAAATTGTGCAAGATGCAAAAAAATATAAGCAAGTTAGAATTAAATGATTCAAACTACAAAAAAAAAAAAAAAAAATTAACACTCACTTGTTAACCTTACTATCAACATGATCCGGTAGACCAAATGTTAAAGTTTGAAACGTCTTGTCTAATTTTATTGTTGATAAAAGCATATTATCTATTGCAGATTTCTTCTGAAATATAATTGAAAACATTAGTAATTCCATAATAATTATGGGACTCAATACAGTAAAAGTATTTTACATTATCAAGTTATATAGATACCAACATAACATTTGACAAAATAATTAACCATGAGTTTTTTTCTAATTCTTAATATATCACTATGCTAATTTTTTTTTGTGGATAAAATTTTATTTGGCAATTGTTAGTTAAAAAAAATTATAATATGTGTACCTTTGGAACTGCCACACTTTTAACAGAAGGTAGAGTTCTGATGTCGTGAATGAACGGAGTGTCAAGGAGTTTTAGCAGTTTATTTTCAACTTGTTTCACAGTTTCCATTTTTAAGGTACTCAATACTCCATTTATTGTTGAAACTTTTTCTTTAAGACCTTGTGTTTTGTCAACTAAGTCATCATCTGGTACAATAAGATTACTGCAAAAATAAATAATATATAAGTTCAAAATGAAATGGCCAAAAAGACGCAAAGAAAGTGATCTAAGTTTTTATTAAGTTAAATATAACATATAAAATGCTTTATAGCTATATCCAACCATTGTTTTATCTATAATATTTTAGCTACTAAGATAAATTTACTTAGTTTTGGGTTTAATTGGGCAATTCTTATAACAATATGTATAGTTTATTTACAAATATTAAATAGGACATAAAGAAAAGTTAATTTAAGATGGATAATAAATATTTTTCAAATAGATAATGGCCGATAATACACTAAGGGCAGAATCCTGCCTTTTAAACTTAAATCTGCTTGGTAACTCTCACCAGAGATGGTAAGAACGGCCCTGTCATCATTTTTCCAACGACTATAAATCAAATAATTACTTATGATGATATATGGGAAGATATGAATGCAATATTAAATAGAGATCAGTCATTAAACATGTTAAGAGGACGTCACACCCGCATATGTTGTCTCTGTTTTACACATGAACGACATACCAAATTTTACACTCAGCAGATGCAGATCATGTTTAGCACTATTAATTTTAAAATTAGAGTGAATTGACATCTTATAAAATTTAAAGGTAAAAATATTATCTAGGGCATCTCATCAGTTTTTTGCTATATTTTAATTTTAAAATACTCAATTTAAAATTAAAATATAGCAAAAAGCCGATGAGATGCCCTAGATAATATTCTTACTTTTAATTTTTATAAGAGGTCAATTCACTCTAATTTTAAAACTAACGGGGCTAAACGTGATCTGCTGAGAGTACAATTTACTATGTCATACACGGGTAAGACGGAGACAACATATGCGGGTGCGACGTCCTCTTAATATATCTAAATATTTTTACAAATTTTTAATCTTCTTGAATAGTTAAAAATTACTTTTGATTTATTTATTTTAACATAAGCTTGGCTAGGTCTACCTAACCTAAATGACAATCAATTTAAAACTCCAAACTATACCATGTTCAAGATTAAAAAATACAGAAAACAAAGTGATGAAATAGTTGCTATTGTAAGAAATTAGATCATAAATACAAAAGTAATTGACATTTATGTCAAGTCCAAAAATTAATAATAAAAAGGGAAATTCAAACTTCATAGTCTAGGGAATTTAATTAAATCTTCAAATTAATATTAATCCCTTTTTAGATGAATTTGAACAAGCTATTCTAGATAGAACTAGAACCAAAAAAAGTAACTACACCATAATAAAATGTGACTTAAATATAGATATAATCAATAACAGTATAGATTGTATTAAGTAATAACTATCTCAATTCAATAAATTAATATGCCTTTATTAGTCTAACTAACTGTATAACTAGAACAAAAGAATCCTGTTTAGTTCAGGTACTTTTAAAAGCTAATACATCAACAAACTAATGTTAAAGCATTTGTTGCCCATACCACTTTAACTGACCATTACTCAATAGTTACAAAAAAAAAAAAACTATATAATTCATTTATATTTCAAATCATGAACTCATGTTCCCCCATACAAACATGTTCAATTGGGTCCATTATCTTCTTGAAGAATACATAACAAATAATAATAATAATAATTAAATATAAACAATAATATATAATTATGTTCAGTATTTTGTTAGCTTAATAATCATAATAAACTGAGATTGTTTTATAAAATTGAATGTAATTTTTTTACTTCTTAAGAATATGTTTAATTAAAAAAGAGAAGTATAGGTGAAACAACATAACCAGAAGAATTATATATAAACATCAATGTGTATTAAAACATATTAGATAGATATGTACTGGCCCCTAGCCAGGATTATATTTTTATATAAAGGGGACTTCACACTAATTTGTTTAATCTTCAGTTTTTAATCAAATGTAATATATTTTCATAACTTTGTATTAACACGTTGTGTAACAAAAATACATACGATTCCAAACAAGGTGGCTGTGTATCTCAAGTGTTGCTCAATTTGTTTGTTGTTAAGAGGATGTAACACAGGCATTTGTTGTCTCCGTTTCACAAGTGCAAAACATAATTAACAAATTATTAAATAACAAATTTACGCTCTGCTAATCACGTTTCACTCAATTAGTTTAAAATTAAAATTAATCGGCCTATTATAAAACTTGATGGTAAGATCAATATGCGTTTTATTATGGGATTTTTATGATTGTTAAATTATTTAGCATGTGTTGAGTATATAATATAGCGTAAATTAAAAATTATCATACATAACTCACTTAAAAACTGAATTATCGTAAAAAAAACCCACATACAATGCTCTTACCACTAAGTTTTATAATAGATCAATTCAATCAAATTTTTAAGCTTACGAAACTAAACGTAAATTTGTTATGTTACGCACTTGTAAGACGGAGACGAAAAATGCCTACATTACGTTTTATTAAGTATGTACCGAATATAAAAAAAGGGTAGGTATCTTGAATTAACAAAAATTATTTTTTTAAGAAAAATGTTTGTAACTGTTTACTGACTTCAAGTGTTTTAAAAAATACAACCAAAAGTCCCAAAACTTAAAATATAATATATGAGATATTGATATTTTAATATTATTTAATAATTTCATCTAATTTTAGATATTAAATATTAAAATACAATACATACATTTGACACAAGTCACCATAACTTCTAAAAGTATTTGATTCTTTCATATTAATATGATTATCCATAAAACGATTCATAAATGTCATCTTAATTTCTGAAATAATAAAAATAATTAATAATTATGAAAACATTTATAAAATATAACAATATAGTAACATTAAAAAATAATTTTTAAAAATAACTAAAAAAAACATATTTACCTTCATTTGAAAATACTTTTTTGTTAAGATCATTTTTGTTATTTGAAGATATGTTATCTTTAATTTTACCAACTAAAACATTAGCCATTGTAAGAATGTAATCATGTTTTGAATTAGTTTTGACTTTCAACGATTTACTTAGTTCTAAAGCTTCAAAGTACCTAAATATATTAACATAAAAATTAAATTAACATTTATAATTAATCAAATTAATTATGAAAATAATTATAAAAATTAACACAAAACATTCTTCATTTTTAATATAATATATTTAATTTACATACGTTCTATAGTAGCATATTTTAGAAGCTAAAGCAGTGTTTCTAAACTTATTTTACTCAAAGCAAATCATTATTAGCTATTAATATTTTGTACTTTTAGCATAGAGAAAAATAAATGCCACAGATCAAACAAATATTAAATTATTTAATAATAAACTGACAATGTCTGTGAACAGCTCAAAAAGAGTTAAAATATTTTCAAAATTGTATGGTGTATAGAAAATGAAAATGTAAACATTCAGTGAAATTATCATGTATCTACAGTCATTCGTTTTTGAATTACAACAAAATAACAAAATCGCTACATGAGAAATGGAGTGAATATCTAATCTTGAAAAAAAATAACTTCAAAAGCTCATAAAAATTTAATTTGACTTTCTTGTAGATATTTTGTGTAAAGATCCCCACACACTGCAGCGGTGACGGTAGCGGTTACAGCAAAATGAGTCCGGACACAATTTTACCGCAAAGACAAAAGAATTTTACCACCATCGCTGCAGTGTGTGGGAGTCCTTTAATAAAGGTAGACAAACTTCTGAGGAAGCTTGTATTACATTTTTAAATCTTAGATTAAAAAACAAAAAAGTTAATGGATTTTTAACACAAAATAATTACTACATTTTTGTGGTTTTAACGTATTTTGTCAAGAATTGAACTTAAAATGCCTATAAAAAAAATTGTGACTATATTTTTATATTTTTCAAATGACATTGTTAAAATATATTAAGAGCCTTACATTAAATTTTCTAGCTTTTTTACCCAACAAATAAAATATCATTGACATTCAAAGAAAAAAAATTTGAAATGTCCATTAACAGTTCAAAACTAATCAAAATATTTTGAAAATGTTAACGTGTATAGAAAATGCTGATATAAACATTCAGTGAAAGTGTTATGTATCGAAGGTAATTTGTTTCAAAGGAACACCAAAAACCAAAATCAATTTTGTCAAAATCCAATTTTGCTTAATAAATCCAGTTTTCCCTTATTGTATTTCGTTTTTCCAAGAGCTTTTTAAAACTACTAGGAATTTTAAATGTCGACCTCCCCAATTCACCATCAAGATTCACTTTCCCATTGAACAATATACTAAAGTTGAAAATCGAAGCATTATTTTGACTTTTCATCAATTACACAAATAAAAAAAATAAAAAACATATCATTGTAATATCAATACATTCATTGCTCCACTCAGAATCTAAAATTTTGTTAAAAGGGACGTAATGACTAAATTTTTATTTATATAGTAGTACATAAAATCTATTTGTAGAGTGGAGAGTGTGGCGAGGTATAGTAAGTAGAATTTTGTCTAATAACTAAGGACAATCAATTAAGTCACACCCGTATGTGTTGTCTGTGTCTTACAAATGTACAACATATTAAAAACTGTCTTACGAGGGACGACTTTTCTCGCAGCATATTTGTTGAAGAACTACTAAATTTTCACAACAACAGAAGAGCTTTATCTGTGCAACAGCGTGCTCCTTTTGTAATAGCACTATCCAATCATTTTTTGACAAAACAAAAAACCAAATGTTTAGAAGCAAATAACTTTTGCATGTTGTCACATGGATAATTTTCCACCCTATATGTTCAGAAATTTTGGAGCCATTACTACAAACACAGAAAGATAAAAGTTGTCCCGCGCGAAACAGTTTTTTCTATGTTGTACATTTGTAAGACGGAGACCACACATGCGGGTGTGACATCATCTTAAATTAATTAATATAAAAAATAAGAAAAGAATAGCATTATTAAACAGTCTACCTTCGAGATATATAATGATTAGTTCTTTAGCTAATATATTAGTTGAAGTGTCAATCTTTCCAAATTTACAACCCATTATATGATGAAAACGTTTTTGTACTTTTTAATTTGTGTAATATGACCAGGTTAATAAAGGCTCCATGTTATAGAGCTTGAATACAATTAATGAACGTATTACAGCCCAACAAGCAATATTAAGTTAAATTCTCAAATTGACAAGTTAAGTTTTCAGTTATCAAATATTCAAATTCAAGAAATCTTTTGGATAAAAATAATTTACCATAAATAAAACTTTAATAAATAGTAAGACCTTTTGCCAATTTATATTTAAATTGTTTTACTTAACAACTTTATAATACTGTTTAAAAAATAAGTTATAAAGTAACAAATTAAATTTACATCTTAATATTTTATGTAGCACTATGATAACAAAGCACCAGTGTAAATAAAGCACCTGTGAAAACAAATAGGACTTGGTGAAGGATTTATTTTTGATTCAGACTCTGTTAACTTAAATATGCCATTACTTTGGTTAGGTAAAAATCTGAAGAAATTATTGACCATAAAGACGATTCTTCTATAGTTATTGTTTATATTATAATAATTAATTTACCTTTTTTCTTGTACTAAAAACATAAATTGAATTAATTTAGTGTCTTCAAATTTTTTTAAACAAGAAAAAAATAATTTTTTTTCATCTGGATCCAAAGGATAACTTAAGAATGTTTTTAATTGATTGGTATGCCTGCATCCTAGAATCAAGACATTTTACATAAAGTTAATTTAAAACTATTTACAATGCAATTAAGAAATTACATGTAACTTACGATCAAAAATGTATTCAAACAATATCATTTTTTCTTCAATGTTTCTTGAATTCAAATGACATAAAGCATCAAAACAGTGGTTATTCATGATTTGTAAGTTAACATAAAATCTGAAATCAAAAGATTAAAATATAATCACTTATTATTTCAAGAAATTTCTAATTTCTATTTATTAACATTCTTGTATTCATCACAAAACTAATAAACTATACTTAAATATGCTGCAGAATTAGAATTTCATTAATAACTTTTAAAAACAAAAATGTTTTATTGTTAATTTGTAAAGAAAGTAGGGCTAAGTAAATTGAGAAAGACATTAAAATATTTAGAAAAATATAATGTAGAAACTTAATGTTTGTTGTAATAACTAATAACTGTAAGGTAAGGTATCAATAATTAATTTAAATTAAATTAAATATTTTGTATTATTACAAAATTATATCACTTTAGATTCTGAGTGGAGAGATAAATGTATTTATTTTACAATGTTTAATTTTTTAATTGTCTGTTAACATGTTTTAGTATGAATAAAAATGCTTTGATTTTCTACTTCCAACCTTTTTCTGGTAGGAAATTGAATCTACAGGTGATACTTTTGGAGGTAAAAAGTCATTGCAATTTTTCAATTTTTTTAAAATTAATAGAAAAAGTATTTACCAGAAGATTAAATTAATTTTATACTAGCGTTTAAGTTTAAAGTTCAGATTTTTACAACACTGAATATTTACCAGATTTCTCATGGAAAGATTTTCTTATTTTATTGTAGGTTATACGAACAACCATATTTGAAATTTTACCAAACACACGCGGGTGTGATGTCCTCTTAACAGCAATAATAAATTAAACTAACAATAACAGCATAAAATAAACTTAGTAATATAGGCCAACGAACCAGAAATGTTCTTTGTATAAAATTATGTAAATTCATTGGGCTTAAATTTAATAACTTTGACCCCTCTAGACACCTACTGTACAGCAGAGCAGAGCTTGTCACCTTTTAAACATTTATGCTAGTTTAATACATTTGAAATATCAACATGTCGTAAGGGTATTTTTATAAATCGAATAACCTGATGATAATAATAACTATACAATATACATATAACAAATAAAGAATATTTGGTATGTAAAATAATTAAACAAAACATTATCATTCTTGTTATATTAAAAAAAATATCAAAATAAAAATTATATTCTTACTTATGATCATCAAGGTTGACTAATTTGATGTCAAAGAGCTCTAAATAAACCTGTGCCCAATAATATTGTTTTTTAAAAACAAATAATTTTAAGACAGTCCAGTGATACCAATTCCAAGATTTTTCATTAACCATCCACTCATTATTACTGGCAAGGATAAGCATAGCATCCTATAAAATATATAATATAATATACGTATTAAAAAAAAAAAAACTATTATTTATATTAATCAATGAAAATAATATTTACTTCAAACATGTCATGATCAAAAAGCCAGCTAGCACAACAAAGTTTATATAATTCTTCATTTTTAACAAAAGTATCATTAAAAATATTTGCAGTTATTTCATTCATCCTAAAATAGATCATATTATTACATTTTAGTAAACCAAATTATTTTAAAATATGAAAACTAACTTTTGCACAGAACAGACATCAATCAAAAAATAAATAGTAATGAAATCTTTGACTCGGTTAGAGAGTTCAGCATTCAAATAAATCCTTAACAGACTTTGGACACTAGTTGGTGGATACAAGCCTTTAGTTTCTTCAATACATTCTTGTTTCCATTGTTCGATTAACTTATTTCCATTAGGTTCGTTAGTGACAATAGCGTCAATAAGATATAATGGCAAATTTCCAAATTCCAATCGACTAAATATTTAAAATTATTTTATACATTGTTTTTTTAAAAATAATATTTAGCTACTAACCGTTTATTAGCATACTGGATGAGGGAAGTAAAATCACATAGTATAATTTGACGAGTAGGATATTCTTCAATTGGTTTTGGTAACATTTGAAAGTTGAGAAAATATATTATTGCATTAAAATATTGAGTGACTAAATTTAAAATTTTCACTCGAATAACCATGTCAACTAAAATAAGAAAGATTAATTTTCTGACAAAATATTAATTGTGTAACTTTATATTTATGCAATTATGCTGGATTACACAAAACATTTAATGAATCAATAGTGAGCTAGTGGTCCCTTAAACAAGATTTAGTGGCCTGGATTGGTCCATTAAATTTTTAGTGAAATATTAAATTTAATAAATTGTTTATGCAATCCAGCATCAGTCTTATGTAAGAGTAACCTTAAGGTGGCGATCGATTTTTGTCTGGTTTAGTCAGACCATAACCCTAAATAAATGAGGTAATCTTCTAAGGCCATAAAATTGCTTTAATGTTAATTTTAGAAAATGCTACCTAGTTGGATTGTTAGAATAACAAAGTGATGGGCCGGAAAACACAGCACTTGGTGCTCAAAAGCCTCACACCTGATGTTGCTACCAAGAAAGAAGTCCACAGTCTGAGGTAACTCTTATAACAGACAGAGTATACTATATTATAATTATATGACTAGACCAGTTGCAAAATGTAAGCATTTTGACAAAATTAATATTTTGCAATTGTTTTATTGTAAATTGGTCATCATTTCAACAGTATAAAATCTAAATTTAAAACATAGTATATCCAATTTAATTGATAGTAAAAAAATGAGGTGAAACAGCTTATGTCAAACATATTTTACTAATCAAATCATATGATTTATATATATTTATAAACAAACAATATAAAATTAAAATTAAAATTAATCTCAATAATAATAGTATACCTGATGTATAAATATTATTTTCACTTATATTTACCATTTATTATTTGAACACAGTCCGTAAACTGCATACGTTTGAAGATATTTTCAACACTTAACATTTGAGACAAACATTCATTTAACATCATCACATTATTTTTACCAACCATCGCACCAGAACCATTAAATAATGGAATACCTAAACAGTATTTAAATAAAGTAACAATCATATTGAAAAAAAATTGTATTTACATAATTGATCAGCATATTGTTTGACAAGCATGACATGGTTCCAAAGACATTCCACTAAATATAGAATTATACGTTCACTATGAGTTCCATTTTTCCATTTTTTAACACATTCATCAAATACTGACATAATGTTGTTTTCTACTATGATAGATACTACAAAACTTAATTTATCGAGCTGAAAAACAATTATTTGTCAATTAATAATAAATGTATATTAGATTATAAGTATAAATCAAAATACACAGATTCTAAACAAACCAAACTAATACAATTTTTTGTGACTCACCAAAGTGTAGTTTTTGTAATCATATGTTTTATCCCAAAATAATGGTTTTAAATTTGTTTGTAAGCACTGACAGAATATTAAATTTGGGTTTTCAAATAAACTCCAACTGTTTAAAATCAATTTATCTAAAACTTCTTGTTGAACACCAACATGTTTAAATCTAATAATTTTGGTGTCTAATAAGCATTCACATTCTGGAAAAAAAAATATTAAAAAGTATATTAATATACTTACAACAAACAACAATTGTAAAATACAGTAATGTTATTACCAAAATAAATTGAAGATGGATAATGGAGTATATTAAAATTATTTCTGAAATTAGAGCCAAATGGGCGCAATGTTTTGTTAGAAATATTAAAATCTAAATAACTGGCATAATTGGGCAATTTCACAAAACAAGCATAAGAATTTGATATTTTAATATGGTTGATAATTGATGGCATTTGGGCTTTATTCCACTGGTTAATATCAAACAGAAAAACGTAGGATTTAGGACTGGTATCTACATTTTGACGAATTTCCATTAACATTGCAAATAATGTTATTCCACAGTCTAAAGACACACCTAAAAATACCAAAAACATATGATGATAGTAAAATAACTAGTTAAATTATCATATCATATTTTAGAAAATATGTTACCAATGCTTTTTCTGTCCATGGTGTCATTACATAAAGTTAATGCAGATATACATCGACCAATTCCAGTTTCTCTTCTTAATAGCATTTTTAATTTAATATTGTATTCTTTATATACCTTACATACAAACACAATATTTTATAATAAAATGATTTAATTTGATGATTTGTAAAATTTAACTCACTCTATATGAACAACGGCCATTCGACATCATAATTCTATGTTCATAGGATAAAGAAATCATCATTGCATTTGGAATTCTAGAATTATCTGATTGAATAATCCAAAGATAACATAGATTATTTGGAACATCAGCTTGTTCAAGAAAAGTAATATGGGTTATTGGCATATTGCATTCAGGTTTTTTTAATACATATCTAGACAAAATAATAAAAATTATAATACATATTATTAATGATTAATGATCAAATACTTACAGTGTCTGCATATTTTTACAGTCCCATAGTTGGAAGTGACCTGTAATATATCCAATTGCAACAGCATTGATTTCTTCAGTATATAACAAACAAGATATGCTGAAGTTTAGTATGCCACTGCACTGTTTTTTATAAAAATTACAGAACTTCTCTGAAATAGAACATGTTGAATACATTTTTTTAAATAAATTTTTTTAATTGTAATTTTACCATTTATAAACATTGCTAAATGAAAGTCACTGTGATCACATATCTTCTTAGCTTCTCGGAAATCGTCATTTTTTCTTAGAATGAATAGTTTGCTTGGACTTGATTCATTTACAACTATTTCATTATTTCTTAATTCTATGGAAAAAACCATTTTATTTTATAGTTAAGGGTATAATATTTAGTTACCATACGGTTTTCAATGTGACGTTTTCTTAAGTCCACTGCATAAACTGCTCCAGTTATCACTCCAACTAAAAGTACAGTGGACATAGCTTTGAACTTATCACAAAGTTGATCATGAGCGAGTAATTCATTATTTATTGTAGAAATGTAAGATATCTAAAAAATGTATATAATTTTTAAAATTGATCTTTATTATTTAGTAAAATTACTTAAGAGAACATCACACCCTTATTTATTTTCCCATTAATAGGTTAACTCATCATTATTTTATTATAGCTTTCAAATTACAACACACATGAGTAGTTTATTCTCTTAAGATAATTTGATAAATTAAAATTAGCATACTGGACTTGGTATATGAATACAACGAATGATCGTTAATGTTGGTAATTGACAAACAAACAATATACCAAAAGATTTACATGAACATCCAACCAAAAGCATGTTCATTGTTTCATTGCTTCTATGTAATTCTTGAACAAAGGTAATCTGGAATAAAAAAACAATATTACCTAATATTATTTTACAATAACTACCTATAGAGATTTCTGATACAAAAAAAAAGTAAAAATATATATTTTTGGACTTTTTAAATTATCATGTTTTTTTAACAATTAAAAAAAAATTACGAATAAAGATATACTTATTATTTGTACGAACATTTTTACAAAATTGTTAACATTATTAATATCCTATATTTAACTACTTTAATATTTACACTCTTAACTATGGGTAATTCTAATGATAATGTATATAAATCAATTGAAAAGGATTTTATTACTACTATTGATAAATTTGATAGAATATTGAAATGGATTAGGTAGTAATTTAAAATTTACTCAAAACAGCTAGGTAATAATTTCTGTGAATTCCCACAGGGAAAAAACAAATAAGATAATAGGTAAGCTTTGAGATATCATATATTGTGGATAAAATTAGATCCAAGCAGTTTGAAGATTATTTGAACCAAATAAAGAACTTAAAAAAAAAAAAAAAAAAACTAGAATCAGATCATTCTGATTACCTATTGAAAGCTAAAACTTTAAAATATTCAACTTCAAGACATTTTTTTAGAAATAATTGATCGACAAGCAAGAAGTCAAAATTAAGTTTTTTCCAATGTACCTACCTGAGAATATTTCACATACCTACCAAATAGTTGTGATAAACAGTCTGTTCCAGGAGCGTCTTTTAATCCCCCTCATATGGGACTCCTATATTTACTCCCAAAATAATTAACTATGCATACCAATAATTATATTATGTATAACCAACAATTAAAACATTTTATCTAATATTGACGTTATTAACTTTGAAGTTATATGGTTAATGCATTTTTGCATTTTTCAAAGGCCAATAATGTGACAGTAGAACAAACGTTTTTAGTGAAAAGTCACACCCAGAAGGAGTGTAATTGTCTCCAGTCTTATTAAAAAACAGTCTAAAGTGGAAGATATTTTCTTACCATATTATTTTGTTAAGAGGTGCTGCACCCCATGTGCTGTCCCTGTCTTATAAAAGAGGAACATGGCAAATTGAACATTCTGAATAATCCATTTAACTCAGTTATGATTAATATTTGAATGAATTGACCTATTATCAAATTTAGAAGTGAGAATATCTAGTGAACCTAATAGGTCTTTTTTATTAGGTATATTTTAATTTTAAAGCAAGTGTTATGAGTACTGTATAAATGCACAAATAATTTACAATTTTAAAATATTCATAACTTGCTATAAAATTAAAATATAAAAAACCTATGAGGTTCACTACATAATATTCTTACTTTTAAATGTTAGAATAGGTAGGTCAATTCGCTCCAATATTAATCAAACACGTATCTACAGATTTTCATTTCTGTGCACAATCTAGAATCTAGATGTGTTTAGTCTAACCACAGTTTTGACACAGAGACTCATAAAATCTTACTTATCTAGGTACCATATGCGCAAATAGTGAGGGATTTAGAGTGCCAAGCCTCCACCAACAATTTGAACAGCCCTCCCAAACATTTTCTAAATTTTTTTTAAGCTTATTCAAAATTATAATAGTAGTGCTTTAGGGATCAGCCTCCCCAAATCTCAAGCGTAATTTGCATCTATGTTACCTACCCAAACATGATTTATTAATATTTTTCAATGATATGCAAATATGATTTTTCCTGACAATTTCAAGTAGGTACATAAAAATAAAAAATAAATAAGAAATAGGTAACTATGCACAAATATGCTAAACATTTCTGAAATATACATTTTTCCTAAAATATGAAAAATATGCAAAAATATACAAATTCAAACTTTGTATTTAATTTTACCCTTACATAAAACAAATTTATAATTTAACTAGAATAATCTATGCATAGATATGCAAATGCGAGAAATTCCAAACCCTAATTATTAGGGCCGGAAATATATTTGTACTATTTGCACATGTAGGAGGTTTTAAAATGTCCACAATTCATATTTTACCAAATTTAAACACCAAATTTTATATTGCATATTTTACCTAGGTACCTAATAATTTTTCAATTTTTTAAATAATTTTAATTTCTTTTAAAAAAAAAAAATACCAACTGTGAATGTTGTTATTATTAGGTACTACTTTTCTGACCAGTTGTAGTTTTTTATGGTCACATAATATCACCTTTAACATCATATATCATAATTGAAAATGATACATAAATGTAATGAAAGTGTTATTTTATAATAAAGACAAGGTTTATGATTAGTTCACTTGCATGTAGGTACCTAATAGAAATAAAACTGTTTTAATGAGTTATGACACTTGCTTTAACTAGTATATCTAGAAATTCGCTTAACTCGAGGCTTAACTAGACCGGTTTAAAATTATCCCACATTATCCCGCACCAGGCTAATGAATCATGTAAACGATAGGGTCCAAACATCTAGGTGCATTATTTTTCACACCGGTTTCATCTAGCAAATTTGTAGTATCTATGTTTCATTGCCTAAAATAACTGATTTCAAAAATCATTCAAAAACCTGTCTAGGAAGAGAAAATTGCGAGGAAATTTGTGAATCTCAATGTTTTAAACTAATGATGTGGGTAAACAAAAATCCCTAGAAATTTATTTTTATGAGGATATGAAATGGAAAACAAAAATTGAAATAGGTAATTATAAAAAAATATTAAAAAATATTAGAAATTTAGGTTTATTTACTCAAAGATGTGTTCATTTTGCATTAGTTCAGTCTACTTATTCTATGGCATACGTCTTGTGGTGATCAGCTACCCATCTACTATTGAAAACGATAGTATTCAGTAATAATTCCAATAAGTTGCACATCTTGGGTGGTAGTATACGCTTTTTTTGTTATTTATTGTGCTTGGATAATAAGAGCCTTAATAATAAAAAATTGTTTAAATCTACCTAACATAAAAAAATTTTATTTGAAAGACACAACTTAGGTACCTATAATGTAAAATGTTTTAATTTGTACCTAATATCTATAACTAATTATCGTTGAATGTTAATGTTATTATATTATTAAATATTATTAGGTAGGTAAGTACCATTGAACTTTGTTGTTATCATCACTACTCCTGGTATTAGTATAAGTAGGTAACTATTCATAACACTGTAATTAATACAATATTATATAAATAAGACACTTTAAAATTGAAGACCCTCCCCTATTGCCACAAGGTGTATTAAAAAGTGAGTTAGCAATTCATAAATAATATTTGATACCTACCTATCATGTACCTACTTATTATGTAATAAGGTAATTTCTTTATGAGTAGAATAATAAATTATGAGATTATTTTAAATTGAATGTTGTGTCAGTAGGTACCTACCAAAAATGTTTAATGGAAAAATAAAAAAACAACATGAGCTGTTAGCGATTGAGATCGCTCTTGCTCCACTTGAGCGCCACTATGGTAGGTACCTATATTACAATACACGTACACCGCACATTCACACTCGAGCCCGCACTGCAGTGGACCATACCATAATAATATACGGTGAAGTATAATATAGAGTATAGACAATACTATATTATAGTATTGACTCAATAACACATGTATAGCTTACCTC